GCTGGGCAACATAAGAGTAATCAAATTGATGTTCCAAAAATAATGGCCTGTGATAAAGAGATGTGGTCACTATTTTTAGCAGAGTAGACTTAAAAGCAGTTTGTTTTCACATGCATACCTTGAGGTTATGCTCCTTAGATTAAAATGTAGGTTTGTATTTATTATTCAAGTGTGTGTCCTGATTTAAATGTCATTGTATTTAGAGTCCTTAATTGAATACAGTAATGGAACAAAAGCATTAAATCTCTGTTAGGGTTCTGTGCAATTTCAATGTGTTAGATAAATGTGTTCTTGAATAATATGTCTAATTCTTTAATTATAATTTGAGATCTTGAGTGCTGAAAAAAAAAAGACGTTTTGTGGAAGCTTTCATCATGCACTTGGGACAATTTGCAAGAAATACCAATGTAAAGGAAAAACATAATTTGTACTTTGAGCAGAGCGTGCTGAATATTTGACAGTGACAACATGACTAGTGTTTGTCACCAACAGTATGCAGCCATCAAGCCAACAAGACGGTTTGCCAATGTAACAGTTAGGTAATGTAGATGTGTTTATCAGTGCTGATATGATGCTAGGTATGTAGGCTGCACATTCAAAAGTTTGGTAGATTGTGTCAAACAGCATATCTCTTTGACTGCTCACAACAAACAAGATACTGACCATATCGAACCAGCCCATGCTTTCAAAACTCTCAACTCTCTCTCACCATTAGATATCATTCCTCAATTGGACAACATTTTCCAAAAAATCCTGTGTGTGTGAAGAATTACACTAACAAGCAATTTATGGTCGTTAGTCAGGGTTGCTGTTTGGTGCACTTGCCAGTACTGGAAACTACGTAATGATATGCAGGACCCTATTCTTTGTAGACAGAACAGTGTGTATAAACACTATACATGTTTCAACTCAATAAAATTGGTGATAGTGATTCTCTGGTTTATTTCTTAGAGCAGTGCCTTGACTAATCAGAGTCAACCTGCCTGATTCATATTTAGACAAAGCTTGGCAGTTAACTGTCAGTCATTGCCATGGTGATCACACAAATTAACAATGCTTCTGTAATCAGAGTTCACTTGCCAACCAATCAGGACTCTCATCTTATCTCATAAATGCTGTTTTCCTTTTTATATTGGTTCTTGTGAATTATCCTGATAGTGCAAGATAAACAGCTTTGTCAAAATTCAGAGTCTTTCAGTGATTGTCAAGTTCTGTCTTACCAAATGTATATTAAACTGAAATCTATTGAAAACCAGATTTCCTGTAGTATTGCTCATAGATTTGTAAGATGTTCTGTTTTGCTGCAGAGATTATTATGAAATAACATATGATTAAAGATGGCTTGTGTTATTGATCATGCATCAAAAACTCAACCTCATTTTCTGTGATGCAAAACATAGAAGGACAATTCATTGCAGAACTGCAGGAATGCTGCATTTTCAGAATATTGTCGTTTATAGGAGCCATTAAGCCAAGGCATTGTCCTGTGGCTCAGGTGAATGGTAAAATTCCTGTGGCATTACTTGAACAGTAAACTCACCACACTTTACAATCCTCTCTATACCAGTATTATCAAAAAGATCTCAAATTTAGAAGTCAAAGTAGAAATCTAACCAGAAAATTAAACATCTGTTATGAAATAAATGTTGAGTGTGAATCTTATTCAAAGATCAGTACAAATAACTGTAAATATAAGCCCTTTGTTACAGAAAATTAAAACACATTTCTGATCTTTAACTAATAATCTTCAGCATACTTCTAAGAGAGGACTTTATTCAATACTCCTATGTAATTTTGCATACTCAAGTTTGAATAGCAGGACTTTGCTTTGAGCGAATGCAGAGGGGATTTTGCAGAGTGATGCATGAGGGACTTCGGTTATGTATAGAGACTAGAAAAATTAGCAAAATCAAAACCAGGCTCCCAGCTTTTGTACACCCAAAACCTCATGATTGGTCTAAGGTGAGCAGTGTTTTGTGATGGTGATTGCCAGTTTGCCACTGTTGTTCCGGTGTTAAATCAAAAATTAGCAAGTGCACCAAACGGCAAGCCAGACTGATGACCATAAATTGCTTGTTAATGAATTCTTCACACACACAGGATGTTGGAAATATAAAGTAAAAAGAGAAAATGCTGGAAACAGTATTAAGGTTTCAGATTGATCTTTTGTCAGAGCTTCAGGGGGGTGGGATTGTTCTGCTTAAAACAGAATATTAAAAGAAAATTTCATAGTTTTAAAATCATAAAGCATTTTCATGATATATCTAAGGAGAGATTGCCTCCAGTGGCAGAGTGGTTGGTAACCAGAGAACACAGATTACAGATAGTCAGCAAAAGACCCAGAGACCATATTTTAAAAGAAAATGCATTGAGTTCTTAAAACATACAAAACACTGACAGAAAAGATCCAACAGGAAGAGTGTTGCTTTTTTCCTGTTGGTATGAAGAGTCTGATGCTGGGATCATACCAACGGTTTCTGACTGCACAATCAAGGTGTGGGATGTCCTTGTCGAACTTGCTATCTAGAACCCATTTAACAACTGGCTGCAGATGTAAAGTCTGCTGGAATAAACGCTGAACATGGGAGCCTGCCGAGGAATGGCTGCAGTTCAAGGATTATAAAGAGGCACTATTTTCAAACGAAAGAAGGAGATGGTCACGGTACTTGGGCTCAGTTCCAGAAGAGATTCAATGAGCTGGTGCAACTTGAAAGCAATTGGCAGTCCAACAAATGTAGGAAATTGGCTCATGGCTGAGGTTTGACCAGGCTTCCAGCTTTTGTACACCCAAAACCCCGTGATTGGTCTAAGGTGAGCTGTGTTTTGTGATGGTGATTGCCAGTTTGTCACTATTGTCCCAGTGTTAATCTGCTGCATATTAACAGAATCTGTGAGTAGCTCACTTGAACCTTTAGATTGTGACACTACTATGTGTGTGCAGGTTTGCAGCAGAAGTGTGCTGTCAATGCCAGGGAGCCCAAATGGATGGAGGTTTGAGTTCAATTCATTGCTGTGGTGACACCGAAGATTGCAGGAGGTCGTCTGCTGCTCAGGGTCAATAGAAGTGAAGCTCCTGACTCCCATAAAAATTCTCCTAGGCTATGGGATTTCCTAGAGATTTCCTCTCAACTGGCATTTTAAAACCAGTTGACCAGTGATGGGAAATTTCTCTTTAAAAATACTGGCTTGAGAGTGAGAAAAACTAATGTGTTCACAAACTGACAAGTCATTTTCAGTGTGTCTGCCTTCACGCCACTTCGTCCATCACTACAGGATTGATAATATTGACTTCAAGTGTATAAATATGTGTGAATATATTGTATTACTGTTTAAAGGTTGGACCAGTGAGTTACAGAATTCAATTTGCATTTTTGCTTGTATAATAAATCCTTTTATCTTGTTGAATCATAGTATGTAGGTTGTTATCTATAGAAATATTTCATGTTCTCAAAAAATACTTTGCAATTGCATCACACTTGTTAAAATTCCACAAAGGTGTTTGGTGACCATGTCCTGATTCACTGCTTAAATCTACCACATATAAGAAAAAGTAATCGACAAGAAGGATTTTAAAGAACTATACAACTAAACGGTAAAACTTCTGATTTGACTGAGTGACTAATTAATTCAGATTGTCTGGCTAGAGGCATTCAATTATTCTTCAGTATGCTAACCTATATGAAACACTTGAAATATGAAGCATAAGCCGTTATTTTCAGTGACCAATAATGTGAAATTAGTGAATGTTTCTGAATCGAAAATTGATCCCTTAGACTGGATTCAAAGAGTCAACTTGAAGCCTACTACCCCTTCATTCAAAATAAACTGAAGAACTGTGAATGCTGGAAATCAGTAACAAAATCAGAAAATGCTGGAAAAATTCAGCAGATCTGGCAGCATCTGTGGGGAAAAAGCAGAGGGTTAAGGTCAAGTAGGTTTAGGTCAAGTGACCCTTCTTCAGAACTGATTGTAGTTGGGAAAAGGTTGGTACATATGCTGAGGTGGGGAGGGAGAGGAGTGAATAATAGGTGAAGATGGAGCCCAGAGAAAGAAAAACAGTTGGACCGACAAAGGAACGGGTAAAGGTCAGCTCTGGGAGAATGAATTGCTGCTAATGCAGACTATTAGCAGATGACAATGGATTGTTTGTGGTAGCAGCCCATGTGATGACAAGAACTGCTGTGTAGGGGTTAGGCTAAAGACATTGGAGAAGGTGCTCAAGCCCTAAAATTATTGAACTCTATATGGAGTCCAGAAGGATGCAGGTTCCCAAACTGAAAATGACGTGTTGTTCTCCCAACTTGTGCTGAGCTTCTCTGTCTCAGGATGGCTACAGTGCTCCAGTGATGTTGACCAGGGAACATAGTGGTGTGTTGAACTGGTAGGTAACTAGAAACTCAGGGTCTTTGCTGCGGACAGAACATATATGTGTTCTGCTGAGTCTCCCCAGTGTAAAGAACGCCACATTGTGAGCAGTGAATACAGTAGACTAGATTGAATGAAGTGCATGTAAATCTCTGCATCACCTAGAAGATATGTCTGGGGCCTTGGATAGTGAGGCAGGTATTACACCTTTGCCATTGCATAGGAAGGTGCCACGGGGGTGTGGGGAGATGTTGGAAGTAGAGGAGGAGTGGACCAAGGTGTCCTAAGGAAATGGTCCCTGTGAAGGCTGACAAGGGAGGGAAGGGGAATATGTCTCTGGTGGTAGCAACCTATTGGAGGTGGTGGAGATGGCAGCAAATTAACTTTCAGATGTGGATGCTGGTGTCATGGTAGGTGAGGACGAGGGGCAGTCTGTCGCTGTTGTGGGAAGGAAGAGGGTTGAGGGCCGAACAGGAAATTATAGTCATTATTGCTGGGTGTTGGAAGCAAAGATGCCTTTAAAGATATGGATTAAATCAATGGCTGGACAACTAATCGGTGAAACATTTGGTCTATAGTGTATAATGTTGGTATTCATGAGTCAACTGGAATTTTTTCCTCCTATTTATCCACAGAAAGGGTGAATCAACAGTGTTAAAGGCTCACACAGGAACTATTCGAAGTGTTCAGTTCTCCAGAGACGGACAATCTTTGGTTACAGCTTCAGATGACAAAACCATCAAAGTTTGGACAGTTCATCGGCAGAAGTTTCTTTTTTCTCTCACCCAGCACATCAATTGGGTTCGCTGTGCTAAGTAAGTAACTAAATGGTGGTTGTTATACTTTACAGAGGAAGCAGAAAATGATTCGTTTCACATTCCACTATATGGTCCCGTGTTATAATCCCAGCTGATAATATTAGTCAAGTCAGACCCCAATGTGAAACTAAGCTTGAAAGATCATAAGTTTTACTTTTGCAACAAAGCTTATTAGACAAAAGGAGAGAAAGAGACATAAACTATGTTAGACTCAACAAGAAATATTTAAAACAGTCCTATTACAAATATCACAAAGATTCAATTCCTTTAGCCTCAATAATAACATTAACACATACTCAAACATATGTGAAGTGTCACCCTGTTTCCACTTTAAAGTTCTTTGTTCAGTGGGCAGGGCTGTAATTGCTCTCCTTTCACGCAATTCTGTTTCTATAGCTAATGCCTCTTCCTGAGAAACAAAATGCTATCAGAACTCATTTTATTTTCTTGAAAAGATTATTTTAACCATTTAATCCCTCTTTCAAATGAGATCAGACTCTGGTTTCTTTGTTTAAAATTTTATTCATGCATACGTGGGAGAAGTATCCATCAAATATGGCATACAACTTGAACTTTACTACTTAAACAGTGGTTTTACACTATTTCTACAGATGACATATTTCCAATCAAAAGGTTACACATTTATTCACCCGTATCTCTAACCAACTGTGTTCCACAGTTTACATTCCAGTTTAGTACACATGACTGTACTATCTAATCACATCATAACATGTTCACGTTTTCTAGCTGTAGAAACGTACTTGTGACTGTCAGAAAACTGTCGTTTTCGCTCCCCCACCACCTTCATTTCTTGAATGGGTTTGTTAAACTTATTTTTCACAGCTTTCTGTTTCTGCAGCTTTACTATTGTTGACGTTAAGCTATTCAGGATGAATTTTATTCTGCCTAACTGTTATAGAGACTGCTAACTTCCACTGCTGTTGGCATAGGCCGTTTCTCTGAGTGACTTGCTTCTCTCTCTGGAAGAGGCTTGCATACTCACAGACTTTATGGATGCCTCCACCCGCCCCACCACGGTCTTAAAGAATTGGTTTCTGACTGCGCCTCCTAGTATTGTATAGCACCATGTTGGAGGCATCAGCCCAATTTTTTTCTCACTCTGCCATGGGCATTGGATTGTTTTTCTCAAAATTTTTAAATGTTCCTTTAAATGCGTGTAAATACATTTCCAGATATGTTCACACACTTCTTAATGTTTTATGAAGCATGTATAAATGTTATTATTTAAGTGAGTTTATGTAGATTCTATTCAATGAATGGTCTGTAAGAAAGATCCCACCCTTGGAGTTGCTTGCTGTTTCAATACACCATCTTAGTCTAATGATAACATTTCTGTCCTGGGCAACCTGCTGTGTTCTATTGAAACCCAATATAGGCTAGAGAAACAGCAACTCATTATCCATTTAGGCACTTTACAGCCTTCAAGGTTCTTTATTCATGCTCTGAAGTTGCTGAAATCGATTGCGCCGTCCATTTGGTTACATCCAGCTCCCCAAGTGGATGATGTGCTTGGGTTTTCTCTCATCAAAGCTGATCTATTTTCCCCTAATATTACTAGTTATTTTGCATCTGTATCTTTCCTGTACTACCATCAGCATTCCTTTGTGTTTTGCTCTGGGCACCTTCATCTGTTCCACTTGCTTTTCCTTCCCCTTTTGACAACAGCATAAATGCTATCATTTTTCCAGCCCCCTTCAATTCTGAAGAAGAGCCATATCAGTACCAACTTCGTTTTTTTCCCCATTGATGCTGCCAGGCTGTTGAGTTTCTACAGCACACTGCTTTTATTTTGGCTCTCCGTCATCTGCAATAATTTGTTTTAATATAAATTGTCGGAGAAGGTAACGGCGTAGTGGCATTATTGCTAGACTATTAATCCAGAGACCCAGGTAATGTTCTGGGGACACCGGTTCGATTCCTGTCACGGCAGATGGTGGAATTTGAATTCAATTAAAAATAATTTGGAATTAAGAATCAAATGATGACTGTGAAACCATTGTTGATTGTAAGACAAACCCATCTTGCTCACTAATGTCCTTCAGGGAAGGAAATCTGCCATCCTTACCTAGACTATACGTGAATCCAGACCACATAGCAATATGGTTGACTGTCATGTCCTCTGAAATGGCCTAGCAAGCCATTCCGTTGTACCAATCGCCAAGAGGTCTCAAAGAAATAAAGCCGGACGGATTTCCTGGCATCAACCAGGCACTGGAAAAGACAACACAGAAACAGCCCTGTCGATCCTGCAAAGTCCTCCTCGGTAACATCTGGGGTCTAGTGCCAAAATTGAGAGCTGTCTCACAGATTAGTCAAGCAACAGTTTAACATAGTCATACTCATGGAATCATACCTGACAGACCCAGCAGAGGTGGCAGTACAGTGGTATACAGTTGGGAGGGAGTAGCTGTGGGCGTCCTCAACATTGACTCCGGACCCCATGAAGTCTCATGGGGAGGAAACGTCTTGCTGGTTACCGTGTATTGTCCACCCTTGGCTGATGAAAATTGGTACTCCTCCATGTTAAACAACTCTTAGAGGAAGCACTGAGCATGGCAAGGGCACAAAATGTACTCTGGGTGGATGGGGTTTCAATGCCCACCACCAAGAATGGCTCAGCAGCAGTACTACTAGTCGAGCTGGTCAGGTCCTAAAGGACATAGCTGCTGGACTGGGTCTGCGGCAGATGGTGAGGGAACCAACAAAAGGGAAAAGCATACTTGATGTCATCATTACCAATCTGCCAGCTGCAGATGCACCTGTCCATGACATCATCGGCAAGAGTGACCACTGCACAGTCCTTGTGGAGACGATGTCCCACCTTCACATTGAGAATAACGTTCATCGTGTTGTGTGGCGCTATCACTGTGCTAAATGGGACAGACTTTGAACAGATCTAGCAACCCATGAGGCACTGTGGGTCATCAACAACAGCAGAACAGTACTCCAGCACAATCTGTCATCTCATGGCCGGGCATATCCCCCACTCAACCATTACCAGCAAGCCAGGGGATCAACCTTGGTTCAATGGAGAGTGCAAGAGGGCATGCCAGGAGCAGCACCAGGCATACCTGAAGATGAGTTATCAACCTGGTGAAGCCACCAAACTGGACTAGTTGCACACCAAACAGCGAAAGCAACAAGTGATAGACAGAGCTAAGCAATCGCACAAGAAAGAGATCAAATTTGAGTTCTGCAGTCCTGCCACATCCAGTCGTGAATGGTGCTGGACAATTAAACAACTCAGTGGAGGAGGAGTCTCCATAAATATCCCCATCCTCAATGATGGAAGAGCCCAGCACATCAGTGCAAAAGGTAAGGCTGAAGCATTCGCAGCAATCTTCAGCCAGAAGTGCCGAGTGGATGATCCATCTTGGCTTCCTCCAGTAGTCCCTAGCATTACCAATACCAGTCTTTAGCCAATTTGATTCATTCCATGTGATTTCAAGAAACAATTGGAGACACTGGATACTGTAAATGCCACGGGCCCTGACAATACTCCGGCAATAGTCCTGAAGACTTGTGTGCCAGAAATTGCCGCTCCCCTAGCCAAGCTGTTCCAGTACAGTTACAACACTAGTATCTACCCGACAATGTAGAAAATTGACCAAGAATGTCCTGTACATAAAAAGAAGGACAAATCTAACCCGGTCAATTACCATCCCATCAGTCTACTGTTGATTGTCAGTAAAGTGATGGAAGATGTTATCAACAGTGCTATCAAGAAGCACCTGTTCAGCAATAAGCTGCTCAGTGATGCCCAGTTTGGGTTCTGCCAGGGCCACTCGGCTCCTCACCTCATTACAGCCTTGGTTCAAACATGGATAAAAGAGCTGAATTCCAAAGGTGAGGTGAGAGTGACAGCCTTGACATCAAAGCTGCTTTTAACAGTGTGTGGCATCAAGGAGCCCTAGCAAAACTGAAATCAATGGGTATCAGGGGGCAAACTCTCTGGTGGTTAGATACTTAGGAAGATGGTCATGGTTATTGGAGGTCAATCATCTCAGCTCCAGGACATGTCTGTAGGAGTTCCTCTGGGTAGTGTCCTAGGCCCAGCCATCTTCAGCTGCTTCATCAATGACCTTCCCTCCATCATGAGGCCAGAAGTGGGAATGTTGGTTGACGATTGCACATGTTCAGCACCACTCACAACTCCTCAGACACTGAAGCAGTCCGTGTTCAAATGCAACAAGGTCTGGACAATATCCAGACTTGGGCTGACAAGTGGCATTAGCATTTATACCACAAAAATGCCAGGCAATGACCATCACCAATTTAAGACAATCTAACCACCGCCCTTTGACATTCAGTGGTGTTACTATCACTGAATCCCTAACTATCAACAACCTGGGGCAATATTGATCAGAAACTCAACTAGATTCACCACACGATCACAGTGGCTACAAGAGCAGGTTAGAGGCTAGGAATACTGCAGAGGACAACTCAACTCCTGACTCCTCAAAGCCTGTCCACTACCTAAAAAGCACAAGCCAGGAGTTTGATGGAATATTCTGCACTTGCCTGGATGGCTGCAGTTCCAACAACACTCGAGAAGCCTATCACCAAGCAGCCCACTTGATTGGCACCATGTCCACAAGCATCCACTCCCTTCACCATGGATGCTCAGTAGCAGTAGTCTGTACTATCTACAAGATGCACTGCAGAAATTCACCAAACATCCTCAGACAGCACCTTCCACATATATTGCTGTTCCTTCACTGTCACTGGTCAAAGTCCTGGATTTCCCTCCCTATCGGCGTTGTGGGTCAACCTACAGCAAGTGGGTGGCAGCGATTCACGAAGCTCACCATTACCTTTTCAAGGGTAACTACGGACGGGCAATAAATGCTGGCCAGCCAGCAACGCCCACATCCCACAAAGTGAATAAATGAATAAATAATAAAAATATTTCGTTCACAACTGACATGCGACTAAAGCTATGTCTTCCCCTCTTATCATACAATGGAGAGATACAAATTAAAACTATAAATGTTAAAAAGATATCCAAAACTCACTTTAGAACCCCGGTTTCCTAATAACATTGATTTATCTTTTGTGATTGAAGACAATATAAGAAAATATAACATTAAAACTTGTATTTGAAGCATTTTGGTTAAGATAACAGTTTTTTTGTCTGCTCCTACTACGGATGGATGTGAATTTGCTCTTTAAAATGTTAATATACATTTGGTAATTGTAATATACATTTGGTACATTTGTAATTATTTCTGTTTGCCATTCCTTACTTGAGAGTTTGAATTTCCATTGACTCTCTGAGGAGTTGCTCGCTAGTAACTGTAAACTAAGTATGGGGGAAAGATGAAAGCTTTCAGAATATGCCAAACCAATGTAGTTATTTTCTACTTCTGTATGGTCAACTTTATGGAATTTTGGATCAGTCCTCCTCTTATTTTGTTTATTCACATACTTAACCAGCAGCTTCCTGAAAACTACAAAGAAAATCAAAAATAGCTTTTAAAAATCAGTTGAGATTTGCTCTTTTTCTATGACTGGTAGAATTGTTTTTCTTTCTTTGAGTTCTTTTCAGTCAGGAATGTTTTGGTCATTAATAAATTAGACTAACTCCTACAAATGGCTATTTATAGTATATGCAAGTCAGCAGGTTATGCATGTGGACAAAGTATAATTGAACTTCTGCAAGTATTATAGAAGATGCACTTTTGTACAGTGTAACTTTGATTTTAAAAATCTGATCATGTTAATTGGAAGAACTCCCCTTAATACAGAAGAATTGGAAGTTAACACAAAATATATTTACTACATTTTGCACATCACAGAAACTTTGCACATTTAATGGCAGAGTTTTTTCCATCATCACAACAAACATTGCTGTGACTTTCATTATCCTTAGACTTGCCAACAGAAGTTCTATTGGCATTTGTACTGCAAGTTGCAATGATTAAAAATCTAAAATAATGTGTTCGGTTCAAATCTCTATCCTCATTTTATACGTTCCCTGTAATTTTTGTTTTTAAATTCTAGGTTTTCACCAGATGGACGACTCATTGTTTCTGCCAGTGATGATAAAACGATTAAAATTTGGGATAAAGCTACTAGAGAATGTATCCATTCATTTTATGAACATGGAGGGTGAGATGTTTAATTGTGTACTTTTGTAAATAAATTTTTAGTGTATTAATAATTTAATAATTATCTGTATTGCTTGCACTGTTGCTGTATGTGATGGAGTAATGGCATAGGTTTGCAGTGATGATTTTCCTGCATGCCAAGTTCTTGATATCATTCATGGGTATTCTTTTGATAGGAAGAAGCTGGATGATGGTACCTTTTGTAAATTTTAACATCGGACAAATTTGCTGCACATTTCTGGAGTTAACAAAAGTTTACATAAAGAAACAAACTAATCTGTAGACTGTAGGTTTCACTACACCACCGTTAGGGGTAAACGAGCAGGTGTGACATTTTAGCTTGTATATGCTAATTGTGGTTCATTACAAAAGCATTTGGATTGATGTCGTTTTAGGTTTACTATGTCATTAGCAGATGGTCTGTTAAAATTAAATATGCAATTCCGTGATAAGTGAATTTAGGTCTGAATTTTATTAATGGCATATTGCCATTTGTATTTAACTTTTTGATTTCCTTTGGCTGACCACAGTTTAGACAAGGGTTAATATTTATTTTCTTTATTTTGCAAAGATAATGCATTTTCTCAACTGTAATTATCTTTTTGCCTTTTATATTATTGACTCCAAGATGGCGGTGGAGTAGGACACCTCAGCTGGAGCTCATCCATTCCATTTCTATTTTTTCTCTTTTTGTGATTTTTTTTTTGTTTCCTTCTTTCTTCTTACCTCCCGTCCCTGAGCCTCGAGTGAAGTCGTCACAGACTCCCAGCTTCAGCGTGTGTTCCTGGCAGTGTGGACTCCTAGCTTCGGGAGCCTCAAGGTGAAGCCTGGTGCAGTCTGGAGCTGAGGGCTGGTGTGGACTGAAGGCGAGTCCCAGTGCTGTCTGGAGGCTACGTGCTGGCATGGACTGGGTTGGAAAAACTGTTATCCTGAACTTTTTATTTCTTTATTTTTCTAATTTATTCCCATGATTTTGTACTCTTGTACCTAAGATGGCATAACATCGGTAATGCTAGACTTTTTATTTCTTTATTTTTCAAATTTTTTTCCTAAGAATTTGTTCTTGAGATTGAGAATCTGTACCTAGGTACAAATGTACCTAAGAGGGCGCTGTAAGTGGTGAATTTAAACTTTCTACAGTACTTGTGTGAGTACGTGACAATAAAGCTAATTCTTATTCTAACTCTATTACTAACCTTGTTAATGAACTTGCCTAATTTATAATTTACAACATTACTGTCCAAAATAAAGCAGAAGGAAAATGATTTGTGATATTTCTGGTAAAGTAACATTAGATGTAGATTTTCTTTATGGAAATGAGGAACAGGATTAGGCCATTCAGCCCTTCTAACATGCAACACCCTTAGTAACTGTCATAGTTGATCAAACACTTCAATGTCTTTTACCCAAACTTTCCCCTTAATCTTTTATGCCATTGGTAATTAAAAATTGATTAGCCTCTACTGTAAATATATGAAAGACTGAGCTTCCCTACCTCGCCGGCATAGAGAATTCAAAGTTTCGCCAACTTACGTGTAAGAAAAGTTCTCATCTCAGTCCTAATGGCATCCCCATATTTTTAAATCCTGGCGTCCCAGACTCCCCAACCGGGGCAAACATCTTACCTGCATCTACCTTACCTAGTCCTTTTAAGTATCTTGTAAGTTTCAATCAGATCACCTCTCATTCTTTGAAACTCTAGAGAGTTCAGGCTCTTCACCTAGAGAGTTGTGAGCTTATGAAATTCACTGTTATTGGTCTGCATGGGTAGGGAGTGGAATGTCGTCCTGCAGTCAGAATTTGGGAATTTTAGTAGAAAGTTAACAATTAGGACCTCAAAAATAGTATTCTCTGCATTACTTCCAGTGCCAGATGTAACTGAGTACAGAAGTAATGGTCAGAAAGAGTATAAGAGGGAAGATTTTTAATTGCTGAGACACTGGGATTGTTTTTGGAGGGGCTGATGTTTGTGCAAACTGGTCTGATTGTATCTGAACAGAACTCAAAGTGAATGCCTTCAGGGGCACTTGGCTAGTGCTGTTGAGGAGGATTTAATTTGAATCAACAGGAGTGTGGGAACCAGGACAGAATATCAGGGTGTACAAAATACTTAGAGACAGGTGATTTAATTTGGTTATCTGTTTTCATGTCATGACAAGAGCACTTCCTGGAAGTGTGGTGGAGTTGGATTCAATTGAAGCATTTCAACAGGGCATTTGATGATTTGTTTTATTCAATGTGCAGAGTTATGAGGAAAATGCAGGGGAATGGCACTAATTCATAATGCTAATTTGGAGAGACGGTGCAGACAGGATGGACCAAAAGATGACCTCTTATGCTGTAATGCTTCTGTGACTGTGATTTTGCAAAAGTAATTAAGATATCACATTCATATTCCCAAGGGTATTTAGACAAAAGTTAACTCACTCTGTTTAGTTTACCCCACATTGACCATACAAATCCAGCAACTTCATGCCTTTCAATGCATTTGACAGAGGAGAAGATAACCATTTTCTTACAGCTTGAGAGGAGCAGGACATCTTGGGACGGTGGATTTTTGGATCTGGATTTTTGTGATTAATTGTACAATAGTACTCGTGTAACTGCTGCTTCATTGGGATATTAAAAAAAGGGACCATTGTTAGCCTTATAATTGCGTTTACAGTAAATTCTGTCCCATTATTTGCTTCACCAATGTGTTGCTTTTAATTTTGTCCAGCAATCTCCCTTGTTGTCTTTGAGTGTAATTACCAGTGTGTGGTAAAATTCAACATTGTGTTTTGTTCTATAAACCCTTCCTGACATGTTGATAAAGACCATTCAAATTTGTTTCATTTGGAAAACATTGGGAAGAGGAAATGTCAAACCATTATTATGTGCAAAATGTAAAAGTCCACTGCGCAGAATTTTCCCACAGGCTTTGGGCTGATAATTCTTGTACCAAATGAGGGTCTGAGTCTACACTGCTGGAGAGAGATTAGTACAGTGGTATTCCTCGTGGCAGTTTCCTAATTAACACCTCTGATTTCACCATCCTTTTCAGGATGGCAGGCGAGTGTCTGGCACTGCAGGCCCAATTAGAGGGCTGGCAGCTCTGAAGCATTGGCCACTTCACTGGTAGAGTGGATGCTGCTGAGGCAGGATAAATAGTGGCACCCTCAAAGTGATAAAATTAGATATATTAATCAGAGTAGGGGAAGTTGTTTGGCCCCTCAGATTAAAGGAGAAATAACCTTCACCTGGCTCAATGGGGCAGGTAGTGGGGTCATCCTTTTCTGCCACAAAAAAAGGCCGGATTGCAGTAGAGAGATCTCTGCATGTGAGAAAAGCCTGCATTAGTTATTTCAATTGACTACCCACCTCCATTGTTTGGAAATCAGACAGAAGCAATGAATTATCTCTAACTTCTTAAGTTCCTGCCCGCTGCCATGATATTTTTTTAACAGTTTGGCTCAATTATTATGTTGCCCACTATACACTAAAGAAAATATTTTTGCTATAGACCAGTAGCTTTCCTTCTGAGTACGAAAAGCATATAGACTAAACACACTTTCTTTCCTTCCTAAAAGGTTTGTTAATTATGTGGATTTTCATCCCAATGGAACATGTATTGCAGCGGCAGGAGCAGACAACACTGTTAAGCTTTGGGACATTCGTACTAACAAACTTCTTCAGCACTATCGAGGTAAGTTGATAACATTCTTTGCATTGCAAATGGAATTGAAATAATGAATACCTTAAGTAGGTTTATAATATTTAACTGAACAATGAGACATGGCATCTTTAAATTACTTTTCTGATACTGTGCTTGTGTATTTCAATCAGTATGAGGAATTGTGAGTTGAAAGTTAGTTTACAGTCGTATTGTGTACTTGCACGTTATCTTTTACAATTATCTAACAGAAAGAGCAAATTCCATGGAAAAAGCTATGTACCTTCCTCAGGCTGAGAAGAAAAAGTCCAAAATCAAGTGTTGAGATGTCACAAATGATTCTTGGAAAAAATGGTACAATTGAATGGCAAATCAAAATGAACAACATTAGTGAAGACCCTCATAAAAAGAGATTACAGACAAAATTCCATACTTTGTAGCTTTAAGTACAAATTGGAGCAAATGCAAATTACACATATATTAGTAGGCAAATGATATTTCAATGTAAAGGTAAATTTCACTTTAAGTAATCAATGTAAGTCAGATATCACAAGCATTCACACTGCTCGCTACTCAGAATTATGTAGATAGATATCCACAAAATGCTGTTTTTTATTCATAGGGTAAGTCAGAAGGCCTATGTGATTACTTTCAACTTTGGATTTTGTGGCTTTACTTACCATTGCAAGACCTGCTTCTGTGCAATCCTACACACCATCTTAATTCTGATAGTGTCTTTTCAGATTTCCTTGACAAATGACCAACCAGTAATATCTCATTCATGGTTTGTCCAATATTTTGAAAATATCCATCTCTTTATCATGTCTGATCTACTTGCATAGCTTTCCAGGTTTTAGGCTTTTTTTTACTGTCTCACACATTATTTCCAGGAATGAATGTCTCCTTTTCTGTTAAACAAGAAAATGGATAACTCCTTGAGTGTGATTTGTATGTTTTCATGAGAATTTTGAGTTTCTCTTTCTGCTTTCTCTTTGTGTCTGCAACTGTGTGCTATTGCCTTCTCTTTCCAGCTTCTCTGTTTGTAGCTGTCCGTTGTACCTGTAGTTCTTGATTATGTTTGCTAGCTCATTGCTTATTTAACTTCCCTCAAGTTGGTCTTGCTTCCAGGTCAAGCGTTGCTAAATCTCATGGGCTGGTATTTCTTCTTAGCCTTGAAAATAAAACTCAAACTATATCTAACTAAAAGTTATATTCACACATTCATAAAAACAATTAGACTCCACAAATCATTTTTTTAAATTTAGATTTTTCCTTGTTGTGTTGCTTCTGTCAGAGGTTTTCATACACATTGATTGGGGTCTTTGGTGTGTACCCAGTATATGCATGTGGTGATCAAAGTGGCTGATGCAGTTATTTCAAAATATATTTTAAATATAACGTGTAATTAATTGCCAATAAAATTGTTATTTGAAAATGGGTTCCGTGGGTTATTTTTGTTTTGAAGTGCCATCTAAATGTGAAATGTGAATATTCTGAAAATGAAAAGGGATAGTATCCCTTTTGCTGAGCTAAGATAGCAGTAGGCATCTCCTATGTTGTCCATTTTGTTGTTGCACAGGAGACATGGCATGATATGCCCAGACAATGCCATTAGTTTATGCATGAACTTGCCTATGATTGTTAACATGTTCCTTTAACCTTTTCAATTATGCAGTTTAGTTTTAACTTGCTTTTTTAATCTAGTTAATTTAATTGACGCCCATTCTGGCCTAATGGATTTTTGGACAGTAGTTATTCATGATCTTATTTTTGGTGCAGGAAGAACTGATGCAAGTTGGGGTTGTTGACTTGAACTAATTAAAAGACACTTTTTATTGTCAATTGTTGATCTATCACGTCCATTTGTCAAATTGTGATTTTAGATCATTTAATATTTATTCAGGCATTTGTGGCCTTTAAATCAAACTAAAATAGTGAGCATATGCTGTTTTTTCAGCACTTCTCTTCCAGATTTGGATATCACCAGAATTTAAGATTGTGCTGTCCATTAACTGGTCTGATTTATTAATCTACTCAATAGTGAAGGAGATATCCTATAGTAGGGGTTGATTGGCCTTCTTGTAGCCCTTGTACTATTGCAGAGCTGCCACCAAATTTGGCTGCAGCCTATATGTCAACCGGTATCATGTGATCCCTGAGGAAGAGTGAAAGAGTACACTGTTTCCCTAAAAATAGCTTCCATGCTCCTCTCAACATTCAGACTCACCCAGTTTAAAAAATATCATCCAGCTCCTAAAATGGAATTTTAAAATATTTATGTCCTTGTGCATATAACAGCAGACATCTTTGCTATGCACCTTTTTCTGCTTTTGTCTTCAGGATTTCCTGAAGTTCAGTATGGAAAACTTGGCTAGGTATAAAGGTCAGTGAAAGTCCTTTGGAAGGCACAGAGAATTGGGAGAATAGTTTTAAAATATAGATGTGAAAAGTCTATAGCAAAAGGTTAGAAAAAGCCAAAAATTGTAATGAGCTATAATGAGAGGAAAGGAGTGTGTATGAAAAAGAGGAAGAAATGTAGAGACAGTAAATTAGAATGGATGAGATTGATATTAACACTTTTTTTCCTGCATTGAATTTCATTTGTAGGTCCTGGCAACACTGAAACTTACAACTCTAAAGAATAATGTCATTCATTGCTAATATAAATTAAAGTTTGTGAAAGTGATGTTGTGCATTCTAAATGGATAATTCTTAGTTGCCTGGAAACTTTGGGTTTAGTGAAGAGCTTAGAACCAATTCAAGACATGTTTACGGTGCAGTACTTAGCACTGGAGTAACTTGCACATCTTTGTAATATGTTATTATTACTACAAAGGTGTTATCTATTTTGAAAGTCTCCCTTACTGCCAGACCTTATGCACTTCACAGTAGATTGGCTCATTCTGTTTCTGCTCCTTGGTGAGTATTTGTGTTTGTGAAGGATGGCAACTGAAGTGAAGATTATCCATCTTGTAGGGTTGTTCCATTTAGATGTCGGCATTAATCACACACCAAGCTTGTATCTGTAATCCTATAATTTCTTTGAGGTTGTTTTAAGCTTTTTATTGATGTTTGCTTTATTTTTCAAAGATTGCGTCAAATTACGTATTTCTTATTCTAGTGGCAGAATAACAGAATTGGGTACCATCTGAGGTTATTAATTCCAAAATGCTTTCCTATTTTGGAAGACATGTTGTTTTGTAGGGTACTTAATTGTTGCTCTTCATTCTTTAAATTAGGAAATCTTTGTTTTCTTGCAGTGCACAGTGCTGTGGTAAACTGCCTGTCTTTCCATCCAAATGGAAACTATCTCATCACTGCCTCTAATGACTCAACACTGAAGATACTTGATTTACTGGAAGGGAAATTACTCTATACCCTCCATGGCCATCAGGTGAGCTGATTAAATCAGAATTCTTTATTTTCACAATGAGGACTCTTTGTTTTGCATTGTATAACTGTCTATACAAGATATATCTAGAGTTTTTTTTTACTACGACTCAATTATAAATTGGTTGCTTTTTCATGTCCTTAGGGCTTTTAAAAATGAGGGCTTTTAAAACTGAGGTCAACAATTCAGATTTATTCAAATTTTCTCTGGTTTATTTTGAATGTTAAAGAATCTCGGCTGAAATGCAGGCACGAGCACTTTGTTGTGCATGGCTACTAATTTTAAGATATCTTTGAGAATTTCTTCCTTGCAGCAAGTCAATTCAGAGCAGAACATCTTCTTACAAACAGAAGAATTAACCTCCATGCTTTGGATCCAGCCTTCTTTCTTTTGTTAGGACTAGATAGGAAATTTTGTTTTCCATTGTTAGCATCTGGGCCTTTCACCAAAGATATCAGTAGTTAAGACTGTAAAGCACAGGAGCAGAGATAGGCCATTTGGCTCATTAAGTCTGCTCTGCCATTCAAATGAGAATTTAGCTGCTTTGATAATCATGGCTGATGTGTGAATCTGCTGTACATGTGACTGAAGTGCGTTAGTCTTTGAAATTCTGCACCCCAGAGATGAGTGGGGGCTGGGTTATTTAATACATTCACAGTTGAGTTGGTTGGATTTTTAATCTACAGGACTGTTGCGGTTTAGGAGAGGCAGCCAGAAAAGTGAACTTGATGCTCTGATCAATGCAGCCATGATCTTATTGAATGGCCAAGCAACCTCTGTTTCTGAATGGACATTCCTCCTATTTCTTGTGTTCTTGTGTTTAGTGATGTAACTGGGTACTTGTCTGACAACAGAAGGGATTACTAAGAGCACATAGCCTACCAAGCTTTTGTGCATTTTGCTGTATGCAGAGTTAGAGGCCTTCCGACACCACTGATTCGATGTGAAAATCAACCCAGAGCTTATTACAAGCAGTGAAAGTGCTGGAAAAACTCAGCAGTTCTGGCAAAATTGGTGGGAGAAAATAGATTTCAGGACATTTCTGGTCCAGTTACCCTTCTTCAGAACTCCTTTTCCTAGCTCCTAGTGACAATGACAACAACCTGTCCTGGACCTCCCGCGTAGATGCGATGGTGAAGAAGGCACAACAACAACAACTTCTTCCTCAAATAGCTTAGAAAATTTGGCATGTCCGTAAAGACCCTCACCAACTATTACAGAAGCACCACAGAAAGCATTCTATCTGGGTGTATAATGGCTTGGTGTGGCAACTGCTCTGCCCAGGACCAGAAGAAACAACAGAAAGTTGTGCATACAGCCCTGACCATCATGAAAGCCAACCATGGACTCCATCTACGCTTCTCGTTGCCACAGAAAGGCATCCAACATCATCAGAGATCCCTCCCACCCTGGTAATAATCTTCTCCAACCTCTTCCATCAGGAAGAAGATAAGAAGATTGAATTCTCATACCAACAGGTTCAAGAACAACTTCTTCCTGCTATTATTAGATTGCTGAATGGACCTCTCTAATTTGAAATGTAATTTGACCTTGCTCTTGTGCACCTCCTGTGCAGCTGTAGCCCTTTTTGCCTCACTCTGTCTTAAAACCCTGTGGTCTGTCAGTCCTTGTATGTTATAATCAGTCTGTACTGCTCACAAAACAAAACTTTTCACTGGACTCAGGTACATATGATAACAATAAATCAAATCAAATATTAGTTCTGAAGAAGGGTCACTGGGCCCTTCACAGATAGCTTTCTCTTGACAGATGCTGCCAGATCTGCTGAGTTTTTCCAGCACTTCTTGTGATTGTGGTTGTGGTTGCTGGAAATTTGAAACAGTTCTCTGTTTTATTCCAGAGCCTATTAGCCCATTTATATTTGAAAATTGTTTTAGGGTCTATGTAGGATCAGACTGCAGAACTGCGGCGGTAGGCAGTTTCCTGATTCAGAATTGAGCATCTCGGCTGAGACTTTGACCTCAATGACAAAAGTATTGAACCTTCAGAAGACTGGCAGTGTGGTCTATCACAATACTGGCAAATTAATTTGTTTTAGTGTCTTTTTCCAGACTTGTGTAATTTCTGTGTTTGTTATGAAACATTTCTGCCCTTATTTATTGATGAAGGAAGAGCAAAATTAGCAGAAAATAATTTTTAAAAATAGATTTAGTGCTTTGGTCGCTGATTCCAGATTCCTGGGTTTAAGGAAAGAAATTACATATCAAATTCCATTTTTTTGTTAACTGGTCTAATGGGTAGGGTTTTCCTTACTTGTTTTAGATTCCTTCACTCTTGTAATCAACTGAATACTTAAACCAATCAGTATAGTTGTTTAAGGTTAATTTTAACTAACCATGATTATCTTTTTGCATAGTGAATATTTTTAAGTTGTAGCAATCAATAAGATTTTTATCAATTGGTAATGCATGAAAAGTCTTAGGAACACTGTGTACTTCTGTACATGCCAGGTTTACTATCTGTATCCTGATTTTCAACTTGTGGTTTTTATGTTAGCATTTGTAATGATAAAGCATTATCAATATTTTTAGCTGTCAACCAGCTTGGCATATAAGCTTTCTGCCATCAGTCTGGAACGCGGTTTAAAGTATTTGCAGTCAGCAGACTTTGCCCACAGGTTCCCTGTTGGCAATGGTATTGAACATTTTAATTGGCCATTAATCTGCTGGTTCCCCACAGGAAATAGTGTTTAATCCACTGCCTGGCCTCCCAGGTTTCTGACCATCAGCTGGGAATAACATTTAGTCGCTTTCTTTGGTGATCATCTGCTTTTGACATCTTTTTGCGCTAATGCAATCAGTTGCATTCTGAGTTAGTCTTGCACCTAGTGTTTATAGATTTTAATCTCACACAGGGAGTTTCGTAGAACTAAAGTTATAAAAGTTCACAGCACAGAAAGAGGCTATTTGAATTCTTATGTCAGTTCTGTCTCTTTGCTAGAGCAATTCAAACTTACCTTGACCTCCATGTAAAATATTTGATCATTCCCCATCTCAAATGTTAAGCACTTTTCCCTTAAAGATGGCTCAGCAATGCAATACATAACAAAATTTCTCCTAATCCTTGTTCTGGACTCCACGCTACCAGAAGGATGTGGATGCTTTGAAAGGGTACAGAAAAGGATATCCCAAATGTTGCCCGGTATGGGAGATTTTTGCAATGAAGAAAGGTTAAATAGACTGGGATAACTAGACTGGGAAATTCTGAAGAAGGGTCTAGACCTGAAATGTCAGCTTTCCTGCTCCTCTGATGCTGCTTGGCCTGCTGTGTTCTTCCAGCTCTACACCTTGTTATCTCAGATTCTCCAGCATCGGCAGTTCCCACTATCTTTGAATAGACTGGGCTTGTTTTCACTGGAATGCAGGAAGTTGAGGGGCAACCTGATAGAAGTTTATAACGTTGTGAATGGCATGAATAGAGTGGAAAGTATGAGCTTTTTCCCAGGGTGGAGGGGTTAGTTACTAGGGGGCACAGGTTCAGGTGCGAGGGGAGATTTTTAAAGAGATGTGCAAGGCACGTTTTTCTCACACAGCGTGGTGATTGCCTGGAACGTGCTGCCAGAGGAGGTGGTGGAAGCAGACATAATAAGCAGTTTTCAAGAAGCACCTGCATGAATACATGAATAAGAAGGCAATAAAGGGATACAGATCCTATAAGTGCAGACAGTTTTAACATGGAAGGACAAAACGTGTTGGCACAGGCTTGGAGGGCCGAAGGGCCTGTTCCTGTCCTGTATTGTTCTTTGTTCTTACGTTGTTAATGATAACCAAAAATTGGCAATCTCTACTGATTAACCCTTCAGCCAGAAGAAGTAGTATATTACAATTCACTGTTAAAATGCTTGAGAATTATAAATATTTCTGTCAATATTTTGACCTTTTTGGCTAGAAATAGTACAACATCGCAAATCTGTCCTCAAAGCTGTAGTTTCTCATTTTTCTATAGCATCCAGAAGAATATAAGCTTTTCATATATTTTGTTTTTCTTTTTGTTGAGTCTTTTAAGTCCCTTCAGCATCCTTTGAAATATCACCTAATGAATTTACTCCTCTTTACTAAAAATTAAAGCAGTGATAAACATAACTTCCAGCAATTTGTCATCAGCATGGAAGATGACAAAAGTTAACCAAGGAGCCCAAGGGAATAAAGGAAATTTGGGCATGTTACAGTTTTTAAACCTAATATTAATGTGCAAAATAATAGTTTTTTTTCTTTAAAAAAATGACTGTTCATGATCATACTGAGTCTGCATCCTTTTTTTAAAACTATGTATCCACTGATGTAATAAACATTAAAAAAGCAGACTGGATAGAACAATGATCAGCAACAAAAGTGGGAAACATGAAATGTTTCAGAGTAGTTTTCTGTGTACTTAAAGAACAGCTTGTTCTGAGAAATCTTCCAGCTGTATTTATTTGTGTGGGTGAATGTGCCTGTTCCAGAGTTGACATATGTTTTTGTCTGGCAACTCGCTAGCATTCTGGGAGGGAACTGAGGAAGTGATAGATTAGAAAGGGAAGTGATGGTGATCCAGAAATATGCTTTGACGTAATAAGACCTCTGTTTCAGGCGCCTGGTATGTAAGATACCAGCTGATCATTGCTAGCTTACCCAAGGAACAGGGCCAAGTTTACATTCCTATACATAATTATATCTTAGATTGCCCTTCCTTTCCAAGCTTGGTGTTAAGTGAGACCTTTTCAATTTCTCACTGGTGACATTTTACAGCTGCTTTTCCATATATGTACTTTTTGAATGAGGATAGTATGGGTTAATTCAGTGAGAGAAAACTTAAAGGTTTTATGTGTGTTTAACACGTAATCTTTTCAATTCTGCTTCAAACTATTGGTCCATAGTTTATTTCATTTCAGTGGCTACTTGGTGAACATACATTACAGTGATAATAATAAAGCTAACAATAAATTGGATCCATAAAAGATCTGACAAAAGTATAAAAGATTCATGACTTACTGATGCATTTGA